ATTTTTATTTTTTTCGATGTTTTACATCAAATCGTACAATATCAGCGCAATTCACTCATTTATGTTTGTTCTCTTTCTGTCATTGAATAGGTTATGATTCAATAGTCCATAATAGTGCTTGCACGTCAATCATCTATAACAATGAAGCAAAATCTTTTGAAAGGCTGACCTGTACAGCATGAGTGGAAATTTTCTCACAGGCTATGTAGTAACTCAGGGTGTTGATCACCCATCAATGCAAGTCTGCCTCGTATACTCTTTGATTGGCAGCTCCATTTCATCGGTATTGAGTCACTGCGAGAGATCATTATTCAATCACTGTCACCCTTATCCACCATTATTGGCGTTCTTTACGCAGAAGATCATACAAGAATGAGAAAAGTTTTGCTTGCTTGTCACCACTGTTTTGTTTAGAGAACGACAGAAAAAAAATCACTTGATTTTTCTTCCTCTCTATATGTTGTGCAATGACTTTTAACACGTGTGAAAACATTCGGCATTTGTAAAAATATTCCTCAGACTGTGTTCATTCTCAGCCGAATGGCGTCGAAAATATCTAAAATCGATGAATTATCGAAAAAGACTGGCAACACAATTCTTAATCCTAGTAATTCAACCAGCAGTCAAACCGCCAACTATTATTTCAATTGGAAAGAAACAGATAGAATTGATTTTACTTGTTTGGAAAAAGGATTGTTATTATTCATTTATATTTATGAAACATCCGAAAGTGCTCTGGCAACAGAAATGCTTTTCTGGGATCATCAACTCTGTGTTGACATGATCACAACGGGGAAATGTTCGAAGTCTTCGAATCAATGTCGTCGTGAACATCAAACTTCATATCGACAAACGAACCTTTGTCCACAATGGTACGCCAATAATCGATGTACTTTTGGTGAGAAATGTGAAGATTCTCATCGATTGGAAGGAGTACCAAATGAAAATCGTTATATCCGCACAGAAATCGATGCTGATGTGTTTAAACTACTTCGATTCATTCGTAATTTTGCTGGACATTATATTGAATCTGTTATTCATGATCAACAGGAACTTTATAAGGATGTTCTGGTTGTTATGGTGCATTTGGTACATGCCTTAAGTCGTAAAAATGCTGAATCTATCGAACATCTCAATTTATTCTTAGAGACAAGTGCTATGAATCAAATGATTACAAAAGAAAATCTTCTTTCTGAACTCGACAAATCATTCAGTGTACCAGAAATATTCTTTGATCTTCGTCTTAATTATAGTGCAGCTTGGTATCGACCGACTGGAAATAAACGAGATGTAAATTTCAATCAATTATCGCGAGCATTTGTGACTTATTTTAATAGAATCTTTGTTGAATACTATCAAGGACGTCTTAAGTCACGCGGTGCAAAACCAGCATGGTCTTAATCAGGGTTGCTAAATTTCCTGATTTGACTGAGAGACTCCTGGTTTTTAAACTTTTCTCCTGATGAAAATTTTCCTAAATTCAGGAGCTGATTTTTAAGATTTTCTCCTGATTTTTAATTCTTTTTTCTACTTCGATTTTAACGATATTTAACGAATAAAACACTGAGAAAAAGAGAACTATCGTAGCTAGATATACACGATAGGGATCCAGGTAGCACGAAATCAGTACCGCGTTCAATGTTTTGAATTTCTACAAGATCAGGCCTAGCCACGGAAGTTTTGGGCGCATAATAGGATTCTATTTTTGAAAAAAATAATGCAAGTTTTGATTTAAACAAGGTCGATTGCATATTTACACGATATTGCTATAATTTTTTATAAAATGAACATATTTTGAAGATTTTGATTTCTTCCTAGTTTTTAATCGTCTTCGGCTTTTGTTCCTGAAAGTACTCATTTTTTGAGAAATGATCTGGACCGATAAATGACGAGTTCATACAGCTAATTATGACTCAAGTTTCAGTCACGCAAAATTTTGATGAAATGATAATAAGAATAGAATGAAGAAAAATGATCTAATGAGAGTGGTGTCACATATCCAGAATCTCGGGCATACTGGAGATGCCTCGAGAGATGTGAGAGATGCCAAAGTCCTCCATAACATACTATTCAATTATTACATGCATCTACAATTTTTGCGAGAGATACATCTCTCACAGGAGTCGCCACATTTCCTGTAAAAATGTTTTTGAAAATGTTTTTTTCGATTTTTAGGGGGAAGAGGAGGGTTTTTCTGGAAAAAGTCGAAATTGGGGGGGGGGGGGGGGGAATTTAGATTTTTCAAGTTTGAGACATGCAGTGGATAGTAGAGACATTTCTCTACAATCCTGATCAAAGAAAAAAAAATTTTGATGCTTTCCTGAAAAATCAGGTCTGACGCCAGAAAACCCCCTGAAGGACAGTTTTCACCTATGGAAATTCACTTCTGAAGCCTCTAACCGCAAGAATAATGTCGGTTTATAGGTTTTCCACCTTGCTGATCATCGTGGTGTGCTTAGTTTTATATAAGAGCAAATCGTTAATTATCAATCCAGCCGCTTCATCCACTTGCTAGCATCCCGAAACTCTCATATTTTGTTTGTCAGATGTTTTCGATCTTTATTTTTGTTGATCTTTCTTTGGTTGGGCATTTCTTTTTTGCAGATGTTCGTGGAATGTGTTTTAGAACACCTGTGATAGTTGGAAATATCCGTATATCGCACGTTGGTCTTCTCCAGCATATTTCTATTGGATATTTTCCAAAGGTGTTATCGTATGCTCTATATTGGATTTTTCCAATATATTCGTATACGTTATATCTTGGTATCTTCCAATTGGTTCATCTAGATATATGCTCGTTCGCTAATTTCGTTTTTTTCTCTCTTTTCTATTGTCTTTCGTTCTTCTCTGTACTGTGTCAAGTGTTGTACGAATAAATCGAACTCACTCACACAAGCATAGAAACTACAGTATAAATAACCACAACTTTTCATAAAAGCTATTCAGGGACACGCTCACTAACGCAGAAGAATAACTGATCTGATTCAATCACACCAATGCCGAAAGGTAAAGATTTCAGCACCGAACTGAAGGCTGTCTTCTTTCAGGTTATCGATTTTGTGGAGAAGGAGAAGAATGGACTCGTCATTCTACTCACTAGCACCACAGCTCGAATCGTCGCTTTATTTGGATGCAGCGG